TAAGATTAATATATAATAATTTTTAATACGATAGTAGTGGTTAATGCAGTGCTAGGTAGTTTTCTATTTAGGCTGTATGTATTTTGAAACATCTACGCTTGCTCAACCTCATTTCGCATCTTTTTCGTCCACCCAGACGCTATCAATCAAGAGACCGCAACCGAACAACCATCCACCGAACACCAACCAGCGCTAATCACTCCACCCATAATTTCACCTCTGAACCATCTCCCAACTCCCAGTCCAGTTATCCCCTGAATAAAGTTGCTGAGCCTCAACTAGTCGATCAAGAGCATGCATGTACGCCTCTGTACGCTTAATCATCTTCTCAGCCTTCTTTCGCTCAAGCGAAACCTTCTTCACAGCCTTAGCTGATTTCGTATCCTCCTCGGCTGGAGCCTTGTTGACGCGAAAGCCAAAAAGAGTGAGGAAGAGGGCGACGATCGCGACGAGGGCGTTGACTATGGCTTCCATGGCCGAAGCTTGATGATCGTCTTGGGCGATAGGAACTTCTTGATTCTGGAGGTTTTGCAGAATGGCATCGGCGGTTTTGATGTCTTGCAATGCTTCGTCGATTTCTAGGAGACTGTACAGACGGAGTTGCCGGATTTGATGGCTGCTGAGATTGACGAGAATATCTCGCGCCGCGATGCCAGATATTGGGACCTCATCCTTCGGGGATCGCTACTCCTGCAAGGTGGGGAACTTGACTTGTCGAGATGGCATTGCTGCGGCGATCAGAGGATTTCGTGATTGGTTGGGTCTATGCGTGTTCCGTGGTTTGTCTCTTTGGATAACAAGTTTAGGTGATGCCAAAGTTGGCTTTGTTCTTTCTTTGAATACTTGTTAAATGACCAGCGTACGGCGTTCTTGGAAGGTTTGCTGGAGGCCTAAGAGTAACACGGACGGTTTTTCTGTGTGAATTACTGCTGTGCTGTTGAGGCTGAGGAGAGGTCCACTGAAAGTCGCTGGAGCCCTTGGGATAGTAATGTCAGCATTGAATCATCTACTCTAAATCTGTGTTCCACTGGTGCAACTGCCTTCATCCCTTTTGCCCAGGATCAGTACTGCGAAAAAAGATAATAGTTGTCAGCAGACTCCTGGAGAATAGCAATATGATGACTTTGTCCCTGCATGCCTGTCCTGGAGGACTGGAGAAAGGACTGACTCTTCTGGTGAATTATATCTCAACACTGTTGTGAGAGATTGTACTGGTTGAATTTTATAATTTACTTAAAATATTTAGACCTTGGGAGGGTATAGTTAGGTTTAATTATATAAGAGTCTTTATAAACTTGGTATTTTATAATAAATTAGTTAGTAAGGTATATTAGAAGCTTGCTATTCCTAAGGCTAGTTATATTACATTGTTTTAGCTAGATTATTATACTATGTTTTATAAAGAGTTTAAAGAAAGCTTCTTAGTAGATCTATTCCTTTTCAGATTTTAGATATATAACTAGACTTCAGATATCTATTGAGGTTATAACGGTTTGCTTAAGGCCTTGTTAAGAGAATAAGGGTGAAGATACTTGGCTATGATTTTGAATCTATTCACCTATGCATTACAACATTGCCTTGGATCCATTTGAACTTCCTTGTTTATTTGCGCTTCTAAGATGTAATGTCTGAGAGACACTCAATTATTGTGATTATAGCTGATTTCGTGCTAGCTTTGCTTTACAAGCGACCAACATTGGAGTGTAAAACATCTGAAAAAGCCCAGGAATAGTTTTCACTCTTATATGGATCCGAGGACAACATACTGACACAAGTAAATGCTAATTAACTAATAAATAATCACCTCAGAAGTGAGTACCTAAGTAACAGGAGAGCTTGGCCTGTCACTAAAGAAACCCGAAGAGACCAAGAACTCCAAACTCTTCACCACAGCTTCCCGTGATTTGCAGCAGTTGTCTTCACTGACAACATCACTTGCTGGCGTTTCTATTCCCATATAACCTCCGGAGTCTCCAAACCATTCATTCAATGGAAATAGGGGATGTGACTGACCCCTTTCTTGTAGGTCCTTCTGAATCACCTCGCACCACTCTTTATGTTCCATCGGCTTAAGGTGTATGTCCATAGTTTCTAGGATATCCCAGATTTCTCCCAAGTATAATCCATCCAGTACCTTTTGGGTTCCTTTGGCACACGAGCCCAAAACCGGTGATAACATCTGATCCACGAGCATAGATGCTACGGTGTCGACTCCAGCAGCAGTGATCCAATTCCGGGCGTCATCCTGGCTGTAAGAACCAGCTTGAACACATGCCTTGACCATACGCCAGAGTGTATCGCCAGTCTGAGCTTGTCCATTTTCGGTTGATCCAACGATAAATCCGGGTTTAAATGTCCATAGGCGGCTTCCTCCCAAGTCCCTCATCGACTGTGCATGCCTAACCATAACTTCAGACACAAACTTTGTCTGGTCATAGGCCGGCAGTTGTCCGATCTTTTCCACCAACTCTTCGTGCGTTTCATCAAAGCCAGATAAATAACCACCGGACACATAGACGGTCTGGGGAGGGTCCTGTGATTGTAGGAAACCAGCGAGAAACTCGTATGTACTACAAACATTGGTCTTTTGAAGGGATTCGTAAGGCTCTAGCCAGTTGACAATTGCCCCATTGTGGATGATAACATCGAATTGTCGGGGCTGACCGTTCAGACCAAAGATGATATCCCATTGGCGCTCATCGAGGCCGGCTTGAGGCTGGGTCAGATCACCTAGCCAAACATGCACACGCTCTTCAAGTGAGTCGCTCCACCAAGAAAGCTCACGACAACTTTCGAAAAACCTTTTGTGAGCGTGGTGGTAGTCCTTCCCTCGCATCAGGCAAGTAACTGTCGGTTCTAGAGGGCATTGAAGGACTTTGCGTAGAATTTCTCGGCCCAGAAATCCATTGGGGCCAGTCAAGAACACGCAATGGTCTCGAGAACTGCCAATCTTATCAAGTTCATTTGTCCATTTCTCGATCTCGCTCTTCAACAGACTCCTTCCGTCCTTACCGTGGTCGTCGGACATGTCGGCAAGCTCCTCAACACAAAGATTTGGGTCCATGAGCTTGGATGCAGATATATCGATCTGTGCTTCCCCTTTCAACGTCGAGGCTAGTGTCATCGCGTCCATAGAATCGATACCTAGGTCCTTCAAAGCAACTTTAGGATCTTCCAAGCCTTTCGTACAGCCATTTCCCTGTTCCTGTAAAAAGTTTCCAATGACATCTTTGACCTTCGTTTTGTCATTGTTCTCAGATTTTGTATCTCCTATGGCCTGGCTCGGGGAAGATGACGTATTAAGGGAATCGAAAAAGGCCGTGCCAAGCTTTCTGATTGCTTGATGGTCGATCTTGTTCGTTTTGGTCATTGGGAAGGCTGTGATAGGAATAGCTACTGAAGGCACCATAGTGTCGGGTAGAACCTCTCGAGACGAATGAATGGCATTGCGAGTCGCCGGGTCAAGGTCGCTTTCTTTCATCAGCGAAGGTTCAGAGCTCTCTCCATGGGAGAAGAAAACAACCAGTCTTGGTTTGTCTCCTCGGGGTGTGAAAGTGTCAACAAATGCATTCAGGTGGTCGGGCAAGAATTGTCTCAAGGTTTCCTCGATCTCTCCAGGTTCAATTCGCTGGCCGTTAATCTTGATTTGGCGATCTATACGACCAAAGATACGTAGACTGCCATCCTTCAGGACCAGTCCACGGTCACCGGTTCGAAAGATATGGTAGCAAGATGGTAGAACACCTTCTTCCCTGGTTAACCAGGGGGGATTTGGCTTGAAGGCCAGTCGACTCTTCTGCTTGTCCCCAAGGTAGCCTGTAGCAATATCTGGCCCCTGGATACTTATCTCCCCTGGAACTCCTATGGGGGAAAGAATAGTCCAGTCGTCTGGATGCACTATCCAAACGCGGCCCCCGATGGGAAATCCGATACTGGGAACGCTGAAATCGTCATCAGGCTTGACACGCTTGATGGTATCCCACACTCCACCCTCAGTCGAGCCGTACAAGACATTGAATTGTAACTGCGGCGACCAAGTCTCCCGAAGCTTCGAAGAGCATGGTTCCCCACCTACACTCAGACTCTTGAGGCTCGGCACTTGATCTGTTGATAACATCTTTGCTACTGTAGGTGTCAAGATAGCATGGGTAACCTGCATCGTGTTGATGTTTTTGGCGATGTCGGTCAGCTTCTTGTCAGGGGCTGGAATGCACAAGCAGCCACCGGCCACGAGCGTGCAGAATATTTCCGAGATACTCGCATCGAAACAATGCGGAGCGAACTGTAGGAGCCTGCTTTCTTCATCTAGTCCTAAGACCTTCGAAACTTTGACCAGGCTACTGGCAATGGCCCCATGTGTTTGGACAACACCCTTTGGTTGGCCGGTAGATCCCGAGGTAAAAATGATGACGGCAGTACTAGAAATACTGACTTCTGCGACATCAATCACGTCTTTTGTTTCACTTCCATCCAAGTCGGATGGGGTAAGTAGAGACAGTGATGTGGAGCCAAGATGTGAAGAGCCGGTCGAGTCGCAGATCGCTGCTTTGCACGTTGTAGAGTCGATGATGGTCTTGAGTCTCTCAGTTGGCGTTGGTACATCTATCGGCACGCATGTACAACCAGCTTTGAGGATGGCCAGCCACGCAACAATTGCGCATTGAGAGTGTTGAAACGCGTGAATAACGCTATCACCTGCGGTCAAGCCATGTGATAGTAAAGCTTTGGCCCATCGGTCCGAAGTATTCTGGAGCTCGTGATATGCCAAATCGCCGTCCCATGCACTGATGGCTGTTTTGGATGGGAACGTGGAGCTTGTGAGACGAAGCAGGTCCGGGATGTTCAAGCTTGGGCCTTGTCCAGGTCCAGCGGGAAGCAGTTCTAGTTGGCTCAGAGTAGGGCTACTCATAGACTGGAGTGAAGCGTCTGGCTGGGACAAGATGCAGTTATATGTATGTTCGAAGATGTTGGTTATTTCTTCCAGATCTTGCAGGCCGCTTCTCCAGATAATCCTAAGAGTGGCAGTATCTGACTCGGTCAACAAATGAACGTAGGAAAGATAATCCTATAATCAATCAATTATCATCTTCAGGCTCGTCATGCTTGGAAAATTGTAAGCTTACAAGGCTAGAAGAAGCAAATTTATTGTGCTCATCTTGGAACACTCCCGCATCCTGTATCATTTTGAACATGTGCCTGTCCTTGATATTTGAGTCGCTAGACCGCTTGGTTCCTTTCTCAATAGATGATGGATTTTCAGGGAATTTGTACTGGGAGATCAGCTCAAGTGGTGTCATAGCACTCCTGAGGATCATGTTATATGTTTGACATCCAGGTCGCTCCGCGAGAGCCGACGCAGAGTGACTTTCAACGTCGATAGAAACATCACTCTGTCCTGTCATATGATAGAGTACAATCGACCAGGTAGTGAAGTAAACAGACTGAGGAGTAGTATCATGTGTCTTGCAGAACTGAGTGAGGTTTTCCATTGTAATACTGGCTTCACGGTGGTGGAAGCTGACAACAGAATGGTCGTCTGACGAATGAGGTCCATCAGCAGAACAAGACCAAGGTACCCCATCCTTGGATTCAGCTGAAGTTGTCATATCAGGCTTAGCGAAATGCATTGTCGGAATAGGCAAAAGTTGGGATAAGTTTTAAACTTTAGTTTTCGAAGTAAATGTGTTGGAATTGAAACCTTAGTCTGTTACTTTGTAACCTACATGGATTGAGATGAAAATAGCTTCTCTTTATGTATTATTATTGCTCGAAGTCTTTTAGGCGCCTCGACAAGACTACAAGCACGATGACAAAACTGATTGGCAGTTTCAGTCACTACCTCGCAGTTGTTTCGTTACTGTACAATTACATAGTGCCTCAAGTACACCTTCTTTAGTTCATCCGGAATCACTAAATGCCGAAGTAAATTGCCTCATAGTCGTGAAAGAAAAACCTGGAAATCTGACACAGAAGGTTGGCCTCAACAATGAGAATCTTTTGCCAAGTCTTATGCCATCATGTAAAAGATCAATGACTAGAACCACCTCATAGAAATAGGGACGATGGTGTGCTGACTGCTATTGCAATTGGTCAATGTTATGGCGAAAGAGTTTGTGCGCAACAAGACGACGCCTTTCGCTTTGCCTTTAAAGGCGTCACATGCTGTGTCCGGTAGCATATAATGCTTCTACTAGTGTTTGTTAGTTGAGGAGTGTCGCTAGATTTGAAAATAGACCTTTACTGATAGATTCTATAATACGTTGAGCCACATAAGATATCTTTTTCACACCCTGCGCAGCATGCTGGCCCCAAGATACGATTTGAGGGTGTACGTAAATGTCTCAAATGTGCCGTGTCTCACATTTTGGTCACGGGACATTTTCAAACCAACACGCTAAGCCACATAAGATACCTAATTCACGCTCTGCGCAGCATGCTGGCCTCAAAATACAATTTGAGGGTGTACGTGACTGTCTCAAATGTGCCGTGTCTCAGACTTGTATCACGCAAAGATTTCCAAATCGAGTTATCTGCTACGAAGTGGCCAGACAAGATCCATGACGTATCAGCGCCAACTGTGGGTCCAACCACGTCTCTCAGTCAAGAAACAAGGAATTTCGACAGTGTTCAGATTCTGGGTTCGGCGTATTGATCAGAAGCAGGTATCAGGATGGTCTGGAAGATCTGACATTCGTCTTACATGCTAGAGATAGACAGAAGGAAATGTTATAAACTTTCGACAGAGATCCTATATTCTCCCTGTTCTGAGAAGTCGTAAACAACTGTTACCGGACACTTATAATGGACTCAAAAAGTTACCAGAATCCTGAGCTACTCTTTGAAGACCTTCCAACAGATGCTCTTGGCAAGGGAATGCCAGCGTTGGCCGTCAAATCGGGCATTGATCGTTTGCTTGAGCATGATATCGAACCCGAACGCAATCTTGGAAGGTGAGCTTGATCAAGCCCCTATCTCTGCTCCCTTTCATATCTAAGGGTCTCACGTATACAGCTTTGTATCTACTGGCCTAAACGATATCGGGGAGAGTCTTCTTTTGGAGAATTATCAAAGAAACCTCGCTTGCCAAGGCGAGTATGCCGGTGTTCGAAGGCGAGCAAACCTAAGAGATGAACAGATGAGCAAAGTCCTAATTTTACACAGGATACATGACCGGTGCGTTGCAATACTAGGAGCGCTATGGCGTTCATCATGCAACGAGAAGCCAACCGGTTCTGCGGTGTCCGGTAGCTCAGAGGCTATTTTCCTCGGCATTCTGGCTATGAAACGAAAATGGCAGGCAGAAAACGGAGGTATTGTCTCCCCGAATGGTTCAGCCCTCAATATAATCACAGGAAGTCATGCCCATGTCGCTGTGACAAATGCGGCCAGAGCAAATGACATCGAGATTCGTACAGTGTCAGTAGGACCAGAAAGCAATTACAGCTTCGACCCGTCAAAGATACAGGGACTGTTGGATAATTCTACCAGTAAGTTAAAAAGGACACTTCAATAACCTTCAATCTGTTGACACACATTTAGTCGGGGTTGTCTTGACATTGGGTAATACATATACGGGACATTTTGACCCAATTGAGAACACTAGTATTGTTCTAGACAACTACGAACAGTCATATGGTCGTAGTATTCCCATTCATGTTGATGCAGCTAGTGGTGGCTTTGTTGCGCCATTTAACGGTGGGAAATCTAGTCGATGGTAAGCAAGTCCAGCAACAATAGGCGAGTTATGACTTTACACTAAACCAATATTTCAGGGACTTTGCTTTGCCTCGTGTCGTTTCTATCAACGTGTCCGGACATAAGTTTGGCCTTACAGCTGCAGCTTTGGGCTGGATTATATGGCGCGATCGGAAATTCCTGCCCGCGGATTTGCTCCACGAATCCTCCTACCTTTCAGGACATCACGAGCTTCCAACACTTCGATACTCTCAATCTTCAAGCAACTTATTGATCCAATACTATCAATTGGCTCATCTAGGTCATCAAGGGTTTGAAATCGTCATTCAAGATCTATTAGAGCGATCCAGTGCTCTAGGCAAGACCTTGGAAGAAACCGGGATGTTCACATGCATCAGTGAATCCCACAGGACCTTGGCAAACACGTTACCGGTAGTTGTCTTCCGTGTAAACTCTGCAGTACAAGACCAGCGCCCGGATTTTACTGAGCAGTGGATTAGCGATCAACTCTTTAATAAGGGTTATAGTGTTCCATGTAAGCTGATACTCGGTCTTCCTCTTAGTGATTTATTTTTAACACCAGCGCTAGGTTCTAAACTCCCCGTCGATGGAGAGGACATGAAGGTCTTACGAGTAGTTGTAAGACCGAGCCTTAGGCCTAGTGTGCTGGATTCATTTGTTGCCGAACTTCTCTCTTTGCTTAGTGATAAAAGGCTTAAGTCCCTACTATAGCTAGTCATTATACAGTTATACTAAAACTAATACTTTATGTACTTAAATAAATATATTGTATTTTAACAGAATACAAGACTAGCTTTAAATTTACTATAAGTAAAATTATTAATACTTTTAATATTTATACTAATTTAACTAAGTTAATTATATTAATTTATTTTTAGCTTTTATACTATACTAGTTTTACTCTTTTTACTTTTTTTAGTATATAATTACTATTTTAGCTATTATATAGCTTATTATAAAGTTAACTTTACTAAAGTTTTATATAATATTTAATTATATACTATATTTTATAAGGTTTTACATAACCTTAAATAGCTAAAAATTATAGTTAAATCTTTGTATTTAGCTTTTTAATAATTATATTTTACGCTTTAGTTAATACTAAATATAACTAAAGTTAGTAAATATATTACGTTAGTTTATAGGTATAGTTTATGCAACTTATATTATAGTAATACTGTTATAAATAATAAAGAAGATAATAAATTATAGTATTTATAAAGAAATTCTTAATATTAGGAAGGGTAAAAACTTTTATTGCTATTAAGGGCTTTTTAGTAATGTCTTTATAAAACAGCATCTATTAGCTAATATAATATATAAATTTAATACAGATTCTTAAACACCTAGCCCTATATAGTTATTAAGAGGATAATATAGTATATAGTTATTTTAACATTCACTACAGCACACTACAATTCTATATGCCCCTAGCTGGCATAGTAGTCTGAAATACTCTAAACTGTAGTTAAGTAAGGGAGAAGGATAAACTAGATTTAAAAGGTAGATATCTATCTTTAGGTGAGAAAGGAGCTTAGGAGAGGTATAAATCTAAGGTATGAGTTGTAAAATATTCGTAAGAACTAATCACTACTTCCTTTCGTGCTCTGGTAAGGATGAAAGATACTGGTCATGTAACTCCTCCCAAGTCATGCCAACCCACCTCGCCATCTCCTCAGCTCCCTTTCCCGACCAAATGCCGTTGGCAGGAGATGTGTTCAATTGAACGGCTGCGCCTTTGAGAATTAAGTATCGCATGAGAAGTGCGGCCTCTCTACTAGTATTCTTGGACGCCAGGTGGAGGGCAGTAAGTCCAGTCCCTTTTTCATCCTGCGGAAATTCTATAGGAGCACCTAAAGCGAGAAGCTCCTTGGTTAAAGGTAGAGAACAACTCGACTTTGCGACACTTGTGAGTAGCACTCCTAAAGAATGGGTGCTAAACCGGTCCCCCAGCCTTCTCAAGGTGTGCTTTACCGTGGCCTCCTTCATAGGGTTGTTCTGATGCCGGTGGACAATGTACAAGTGAAAATGAACTCTAACGTAACTCTTTCCCTGTAACAGGGATCGGGTTTCACATTAGGCGGCAGTATTATGAGATAGTCCTCCCGCAGAGTATATATCTCCCAGAGATCCAAACTTGGCTGCGAGTCTCCTGGCCGATTCAATAGATTCGGCCCTGAGATTTTTGCCACCTGGAGATGCTAACAGGCGTTGGACACCGTCGGCGTCCCCTTCCATGACCAAGGCTGGCAGAAATCGTTGAAGTTCAATGGCATCCATCTTATCGAAGTCATTGGCTCCCTTTTGGAGCTCCTATGGAGCGGGCAAATGGACTTTCAACCAATGTTCGTCGCGTCGCGACTTTGTAGAAAATCCAATGGTGGAAAAGTCACAATTTGGAGAGAAGCATTTCCAAGGCTTCCCATGGTTCTTGGTATGCTCACTTAGTTCTCCAGAGGTCTTGAAACCTCGGAAACTATGTTCACAGAAAGCATATGTGCATCGAAACAGGTTGGAGCCGTAGTTGGATCGTAGCAAAGATAACTTCAGATTATCTCCGCTATCCGCGAGACTTGCGTGTTCCTGCTGGATTCGTAATAACATATCTGATGTAATCAGAGGATTCAAATTGATCCATGTGTCCTCTGGAGATCTGTTAGCCTACATGTACATAGGGTTCAGCGACCGTGACGTTACTGTTGCCCCAATTCCAATCCGATCTTTTATCGTTGAGATAGAACCTCAAGGTCTTAAATAACATGGAAAAGACTTCAGGGCAGTCCTCTTGCAATTTCTAGCATCTGAAAGGCGGTCCAGATTCGTCGGTCGGATGAATAAATGAATAGTTCTTTCCATGCTGGAACATAATTTCCAGAAGCCCAACAATACTACGCGGATAGTCGCGACCGAGTGATTGATGTACCAATGCAGGCCAGTAATGGCATCCATATTCAAAAAGCCGATATTTTCCGATGAGTATGTTGCCCCGGATCTCGTCAACCTCCAAATCCTCATCTATGAGTGTTAGATTCAGATAGGAGATAATAGTTTCCGCAAGCTCTTTGGTAGAGAAATCTTTGTCGATCGAATCGGTGACGGTGCTGCTGAAAAGGTATCTAATGTAAGTTAGACCTGTCGTGAATAGCTGAAGATAGATATCATGGATACGTACTCATGAACTGTAAAGTGGACAAACTGCAGTTTCTCTTCTACAACCTCTATGATTGGGCCACACATCTTGATAAAGTTGAACTTGTTAATAATCGTCGGCACATGCTTCACATTCCCTCTGGTGTGAAATTTGACAGTAAGTGCTTGTTCCATTTCTGGTACCGTCATTGCCAGCGGAGCACAGCCGATCCAACCTAGGAGCCTTCGGCATTTAGAGCGAAGTGTATTATCAAGTGTGTTGATTCGATGAAAAATTCGATGATAGCTTAGGCCGTGCGTTAGTTATATCTTCCTAGGTAACGTACATGTCAGACTTAAGCGCCTTCGAGATCATTTGGTAAAGCTCTGAGTTCGTCTCGAATCTCTTCGATAGTGTTCATCTATTCCAGATTATCTAGAATAATCCGCGCATAAATAAACATTCCTAATTGAGATAAAGATGTTATTATACAAATCTTAATTCTACTAGACATAGCAGGGCTTACCGTTTGCCTTGGCCAGTATTGGTGAAACTGATTGAAATGACTCCTTTCTGACTGCTATGCCAAATCCCTGATTTGCCAACCATCGTTCCCACCTTTGGTCGATGTAGGTTTGAATACTCCCCGAGTTCCTGTGATCAACCCGAATCGCCGTGGCTCTATCTTGGAGGGCTGTGGCAATGTCATCTTCAGCTCGGCTTGAGATCATGAGTCTCAGATCACTGCAATCCTTGGATAACTCATCGAAACGCTTCAACAAAATCTGGCGTTCGTATTCGTCCATTTCATCGAGTCCGTCGATGATGATGTGTGTGCGCCTAGCTGTAGTAAGAAACGTTTTGAGCAATTCCAACACATGACTTGTATTACCTTGAAGCTCTCGTTCCTTTGAATCGAGCAAATGAGCTTGAAAGCTTTGATCATCCTCAGCAGCTTTAAAGACAAGGGAATGAAGGATTGCTAAGGCAGATTGGCTGTTTTTCATTCTGTGTGATATAAATGCGAAGAGTGTCTGGTGATGTTCTCTAGTATGGTCAATGGCTGCTGCCGACAGATAGGTCTTCCCCGCGCCGGGGATTCCCTGGAGCCAAATGTATGTTGTGTTGTTGCTGTTGGGGTCCATCAATTCCCCAAACTCTCCATCCTTCAACAACCATGTCGCGCAGCCAGAGACACATCTGTTGCGAAACCAATCTAGACGACTGTCATATAATTCTGGCGATACTCGAGATCTGAGGGCACGAAATCTTTGAACCTGCTGTGAAGCTTCGGCTCGGCTTAGCTGTTCGGACGTGCGAACTCGAGCTTCCCTTGCTTCTTGTATGTCGATAAAGGTAACTTCGTTTTTCATTAGAAGTGAGTGTTTCTCGAGATTGTTGATAACAGGATCAATCTGCTTTAAGCAGTTGGGCCACAAGACTTCGAAAAACTGCTTCCATCCTGCATATAAGACGTTATGTTTAGGACTTTTCTTTTGCTCAGATTCAGAACGACCCACTGGTTTTACGAAAGAAGTGAAAGAAAATAGCGTAAAAATCAAGTATATCCTCATTATAAAGCGTCACGGCTGACATGACCGCATCGCTGGCGTTGAATGTCTGTGCCATTCTGGTAAAGTGCGGAAGGGCGTAGCCAACCTTTTCTAAGATATCGGCAACCTTGTCCAGGACAGAGCTGATCTGACTGGACCAGTGCAATATGATCTTGATAGGGCCCCATAAAAAAGCCAATATATCTGGTTTTGCTTGAACAAATACTTCAATCACGCTGGTGTACTCAGAGAGTCTGTCTAGAAAAGGCTTGATCTTCGCTAGGTGCCAGAGCTTGCCCTGCGGGGCTAGTTTGGGTTGAATGTCATTTGTAAGCTTGTAAACCTCTTCAATAGTTCCTGCACTCAGTATTTCGTCGTAAATGTTTGGACTTTCGACTTTGTTTCTGAAAACTTGCTGCGCTTGTTCTAGTGCTTGTTGACATGGTGGGAGTACTGAAATACTTGTGGTGAATGTAACGGAGAGGGGAGAGAAATGCGCATTTATGGCGCTGGGTAGGTAGAATGGCTGAATAAGAGCCTAAATGTAAGCGCTGGGAGCACAGCCACGCAGTGATGGTGTGTGATTATGTCTCAGAGATAACCAACATGTATATAATAGCTCTAGGTTGGCGAATCGGATCCCTGCTTTCATGGTCTTGAAATTGCGCCACTCCATCTTCGTTTCACCTGCTTTGTCCCAATACCAATTAAATAATAATTATACTTTTACCACTGCGACCACGTGTTGGCCAAAGACAGGCTGCTTCAGGCATAAGATGAGATAACGCGTTGCGCCGTCCTAAGCTCTCAGCTGGAACTGACCGTTCCATCATTCTTCTCATTTTTCATCAACTCTTATTCTCACAACTCAGAATCGCATTACAGCCATGTCTGAACCCAATTTTAAGAGGCCAAGTACAATCCTGGATGATTCCAGACAGAAGAAAAGAGCAAAGCAATCCAATGGCGCCGAAGGCATTGCAGCACAAGAGGGCTTTGCTGTGCAACCGCCTAAGAGAGCTTCAACTCCGCCTGAGGCATACGATGTATGCTTTGGCATGGTAATACACGCCTGCCTGCTTTCTACCCAAGACTAGGATATCTGACTATTTTAGTTGATGGTCAAGGCCACATGTACGCAAAGTAATCTTCCGGCTCAGGAATGCACACCCGTTACGATCGATTTTGAGGGTAGATTACTGAGCGTGCGAGAACAAAACTCGAACCGACCAATCGCCGTGGTGGTGTCCAACGCTCTCTTTCGACTTGTCAATGAATTTGCTGTCACTCTGACGGCAAATGTGTGCGGGAAAAAGCCGCCAGCTGTCTATACGTCCATGAAAAAAGGACAAACAGTATCGGAAATGGATGGCATCAAGTTTTGTTCATTGCGGATTTTGATATATGGTTTCCTTCTGCAAAAAGATCAAACATCAGCTATCCTTGCGCAAGATGAGCTGTTTCTTCAGCATCCAGGGAAGAATGAATTTGACAGGAATGTCAAGTACTTAAATCCTCACTACCTTCTGCCTCCGGGGCAAAATATGCCGGAGGTAGAAAAGCTCACCACATACGCATACTGTCCGAGATGGTTATCACAGAGAAGAAGCCTCAATATGTCGATGAATCTCGATAGACGGTAGGTTATTCCTCTTTCGTTACGTTTAACTATATTAATATATGTTTTAGAAACTCATGGAGCTTTCAGAATTAGGATTTTGAAGTATTATTCTTAAGACAATTAGAGGTAACAATATAAAGTTTCGGGACATTACTATGCAAAGATTTATGGGCGTAATAACAGATTTGATATGTTTTTATTTTATAGAGATGATCAAATAACGCCTCCAACCTTCTAATTCAAGGAACAAGTTGCACTTAGACTCACAAGAATGCCAGATTTCCCAGTCTTCCCATTGTCCAATTGTCCCTCACACCTAGCAAGATTATATCAAGACAACTAGATGATCTTACCACTCATGCTGAGACCTCTCTTCATGCTATCTTCAGTAATCGTTTCGAGGCCGCCGATTCTGAGTATTATCTATTCCTCAGCCAGGCGGGCGAACAGAAAAAGAAACACACACAGAACAATGAAGACCTCAAACTCATTGTAAGGTCCGAAAGTCGGCCTCCATACTCTTCAAGTGTTGGACGGAGCTGTTGCCAGATATGAGGCATAAGACCGACAACGACGTTGACAAGGAAGCCTGCGCCAGGTTCATACCGCTCGGCGACTTCCACGAGAATTACAGGGATGATTGACGAAGAAATGGCCCGTCCATACCGGTGATAATGCAGTAGAGATTAAGAAGAAGGAAATGAATGGGCATGATCAAGAAGTATGGAAGTCCTCGTAGTGGTCTCAATGCATTCATGAGGGGTTGCACGATGTAGTCCCAGCAATCTTCCGCAAGGGACAAATAAGCTGGAACATTTGGCTCGTTCAGGTCAATCTCTTCAGCGTCCGCGTTGTACTCATTCATAGCAGGTGGGAGATTGGGCTGGCCTCTGTACAGATGATTCATTACGTGGTTGACGTCGTCTGGGTGTCGAACGACCCAAGGTTTACTACCTGCCGTGGTTGGATTAGAAGCGTGTGCCTTTCGGATTCAGGTACTTACAATGCATGCAACGGCCGGTGTTTTCCATGTTATGCGATGTGACCGTTGAATTCTGTAGTGGAAAGGGAAGCAAAGATGAGATTGCCCCAAGAAGTGAGTTTACATGCCCTTGAGATAAGAAAGGCCAACATTACGTGATGTATAATATTTCATCCTGCATAGCCTCTGCCTGCAACGTTCTTTGTTCTCAGGTGTTGCAGAAGTTGGTGACGACGCGGAGGGCAGTGAATATAGACACTGCAGATTTCCCTTTGTCTCATTGCAGATGACTTATTTATCCCAGCAGTTTTGATGCAGAAATGCATTGTTGGAAGGTCACGCGAATCGACATGTCTGTCAACTCAGAGTGACCGGAAGCAGAACCACATAATATTTCTGCCTGTCGGGGTCTTTCAATTTCCCCCCAAAGCTGTATTTTTAAATTCAATGTTAATATCGCTTTGTTCGCCGTGACAAACAAGCATCTGTCCGTGCCGCTGATGCTTGTTCCATAAAGTCAGTCACCATCACAGCACCACAAAAGCAATTGTCCACTCTCAGCTTGGGACGCCGCCTCCACAAGGCTCTGTGCAGACAATGCGCTGATGTATCACCAGCCGCTTATCCGATCAAATAGACTTCTAAAGCGGAAGAAACTGCAGCAATGAAGGAGGCGCAGCATCGGCTTTGTGCTGATACAACGCGTGATTTACGCGACACCAACAATGCAAGGGTTCTCACTGCTGAGGAATGGTTTTTGCGTGAACAGTAGTTACGCCGACGTGCAAAATGAATGGCGAATCGCTGTCTTATTTTCCATGTTGTAGATATTCTCTCTAGTTTAAGATAAAGCACAAGACGTACGACTAGACAGTCAGATCTTACGTGACGTTGGAGATCAAAGACGCTTGATCAAGATGCCGTTTTGTCGTCTGGCTACCCTGGAGCGACAGCCACTCAATGACTGAGCTTGGTTTTTTGCGTTAGCCATAGTTTTTAACACATGCTCCACCAGGTTATGCCAAAACGGTACGTACCTTGCACTGAGCACCTGAAACGCAGCTGCACCAGATATTGCCAAAACACTCTGGTTAGCGCAAAAACACAGGCAAAAAGCCTCAGTTATTATTCAAATACGACGGGAGCATATGAATCCATTAAAACTTACCGCTTCATTCTGATACTGGTATTCGAACAGGCGATCTTTGCATTAAACTGTAAGATCATCGAATTTAGCGCTGAGCTGGGCACACACTACATCGAATCTGTACTAGTGCATCCCCTTATCGATAGCGCTCGCTCATTCTGCGCAGCGACACATTTGCTTGCTTCACTTCGATGGATCGTAAATCGATCAATCCATCTCATGCCCAGTCAGCCACACAAAACCGGTGTCGGATTTGGGATTGAACCCATACGAATAAGTTGGATACTAAAAATATCGAGATTCAAATCATCAAAACAATTAGAAAATGAGTATTTGATGAAAATAATTAAGTTATTACTCTGTGAAACAGCAAATTGGACGAGTCCAATCTTTGAGCTCAAGGGTATCTTGTTCCATTTACCCCTTTCAGTGCCAAATCTTCGTCTTATCAATTTTGGCGAAGGTGGATGGGTACGAGCTGTTAAACAAAGACATATTGCCTCCTGGCTGAAGTGAGGGCGTACCTGGCTACTTGATTGTGAGTACTCTCTCCTCGAGCGATACGCCACCATGCATCATAGGAGATGAGAATAGTCAATGGGAAAAAGGAATGAGTATAACACATTAGCAGAATGACTTCTGAATCCCGAAATCGCGGCGATATTTCTTGGCAGAATCTAGAGTGCAACGTCAAAGAAGAGGACACGTCGAGTATTGCAGAATGTAAGTACATAAATAGGGGGGCGAAAATCAGATTGTACTCCAGGTTACGTAGGATATAGCTTGCATTTTTTTAATCCCTGTGATTGTGTTGATATGCCGTGACATTTTTTCTCGGCCACTGCGAATCAGAATTAGATAGATACTACGCATCCTGTTTATATAATTATCCGGTCAAATATAATCTCCAAGAGTGCTGATGTTTCACTTGCTTAGAATGAGGAGTACGTCAATACAGTGGATACCCAAAACATCAAGCACAAGTAGTTCTCATCCCTCAAGTCGAGACATCGCTTCCGTCTTCCCCTCAACCCCATCACCAACTGCCATTCAATCAACGCTCATTTCCGGCCCGAAGTTGCAGGCTTGTAGCCCAATCCTGAGGGACCTCTAGATGTATCAGCCTTTGGCCTATAATCAAGGCCATCGTCTATCAACTTACCTCGGTGCTTGCGTTTACGATTAGTTTTTTAGGTGTAAGACTTTCTCTGTTATCCTTTCTTTCGTCTACATATCCCACTTGCTTTACGATGCTTTCGGAGTCTGTACTCGAACCCAATGTCGTGTGGGTGGATGGCCGGGAGTGGCATTTTGTAGATGTTCAATAGTCGTCTGCAAGATTGAAGGCTATTGAAGGATGAAGGGCACGAATAATCTTTTTATACTATTAAATCTCTTTGAATCCAGAATCTTGCTGTTAATGATTCCCGAACTGATAGTCAAGCGGTGAAGCCAGAATCTACAGTTCAACAATCGTGGAAGCATCAGAGATGCCAAACCGCACAAGGCTGAAGGACAGAGAGCACAAGGGATCCTTTCACTTGCTAAACCTTTTTGAACGCAGTATCTCCCAGTAAGCGAATATAGAGAAGCGATAGTCAGGCGGTGAAGTAAGAATCTGCAGCTGAACAATGGCAAAAGCTTCAAAGAGGTCAAGCTGCAGACAACCACAAAGGATATCATGCTTCAGATGAATGCCACAACTGCAAGACAAAGACAGCCCCTGCGCGTATCCAGGAGATCAGTCACTGACTTACAATAATATCTTGGTTAATCCCGCAGTCCTTTCAGCCAGGACCTCCTCGCTTGAGCGGCCGGAACCGTTTTTATTTCTTACTTATATACCTCAGCCTAATGCCGTTGGAGTTACTCTTGTCCCGGCTTTCGACTTCCACGGACTTTATTATCGTTGTATAAACAGACCTATCAAAAGACCTCCATTTCACCAAATACAAATCGACTTTATCGTCGGTCTCAGATCCAAGATCCCATCATGACTCCCACGGTCAGCAATGACATCAACCACGACCAGAGACAAGATCCTGTTGCCAAAAACTCTATTTCATCACGAATCTATGGTTATTTTTCTTCTTCTTCCAATACCAAGACAAGTGGAGGGACCGAGACTCTGAAGTCTCTCGATGCAAAGCAGTCATTTCCTGAAAATAGACCTGAAGACATTGCATCTTGTGGTCGCATCGAAGCATTGGAACTCAGAATCCAAGGCCTAGAACTGCACTTCAGACTCTCCCGACTGCAGTAATGGCGAAACACAGTATGCTCTACCTCCAACCCGCTCAGCAATATTAACTAATCTGCTTAAGCGTAAAATGAATCGCGATAAGCACCTCAACCCTATGCCAAATAATCGCAACAATGCCGCAATTGTGGCTATACGCCCCCATAGTCCGGTCAAAATTGAGGCACCAAAGCACAATAGCAAACAAGAGCTTGAACTGTCTCGCTTTAATGAATGCGTTATTGGCGTAAAAGTCTTAGCTTTCGTTGTACTGCTTGCTTTAGTTCTTAATATCTATTATATAATCTTTCCTTAATTGTTTATGCTATTTTAGCATGGCCTTTACTTAGGTAAAGACAGTTCGCTCGAAGTTCGGCAATGGAATCACTGAATTCAACACGGACCTCAGCCACACCTTGAGCGCCAGCAACGGCAGGCATCAGGATTGCTACCGGGAGGTATATCTGAAAGGAAACACTTTGACATCCTTGTACTTTTGTACAGTTAGCATGGTTAAACTAAGGATCAGTGCATGCCGGATCGAGCGCGCAAACGTGCAGATCATACATAGTCCCCCATCTTGGCTAGTAGTAAAAGCAAGAACTATCTAATTACTATCTCTTTACCTGTTGTGTAAGTGTCCGTTACTTCCAGCTCGAACCCCACCTTTGTTAGATTTGATGGAAGATGCAGTCCCTGAGACTCAGTCTTACACTTCTAGTGGCACGAATGCTGTTACAGGTTTCACTTGCTCGTGTGGCTTGATCCTCCGAATGACTTCCTCTGTGATAAGGTTGTGGGAGGTCAAAAGAGCCTTAAGCCCCCAGGGCACAAAGGTAAAGAACGCCAGCCAAGCAGAGCAGACAGGCTTACGCGGCGACTGATGCAAGTCGAGGAGGGGTTATGCCTACAGGCAGAATAGTGGCGGCTAAACGCGAAACATGACTCCAAGCCCCTGAGATGGAGAAAGTGCGGCTTGTTATGCGGTAAGGGTGTTATCGGTGCCAGTGACAGAAGCGCTATGGTCATCACTGACCGGACGAGTTCGGCGGGCGATGCGGGCATCAACTGCCAGGTCTATCAAGTCAAAACAACAATCACTGGGAGGACTACAGTATCCTCTCCATCATATCCAAAGACGCACGCTGCAGAGCTGTTGCTCAAGGGCACGAAATCTTTTGTGATTGTGTCATGACGAATGCGTCCCCCCGGTTCACTAACAGGTCATGTTCTAACAAATGCAGTAGGCTCCTTAGGTCTACTGCAAGAGAGCCGAGATGTAAAACAGGAGATGGTGAAAAGGGATCCAAGAGCCAAATGCAGTGAGCTGAAAAGATACCATTGGTAGGTCCCCGTGTTGATGCAGAGCGAGACGAGGATCTATTGAGTTAGCTGCATAAAGGGGGAGCTGTTCTAGTCGTCATGTTGGTGTTCTTTCACAGCGATACCTGAGTCATTCAGACTCTGTTGTGCAACGGGCGCGCGGTAGACAGATAGTGCTGAAACCTCCCAGGTCGTTGGTGACTAGTTAAGTTAAACGATCTCCTGATCCACAAGGGATTTCGTTGAAGTATATAAGAAAGACTCTTTCTACAGATCGTCATTGCGATTTCTTGAACCGCGGGACTCTCTAGAACGAATAACAGAAGATTTCAAGGCATCGATAGGATAGTTATGGTGGTTGAGAGTGATACAAGAGCCATCAGTACATGTCTCGATAGGATACCAACCACAGAGATAGCACCCTAATCTTTCCACTGTTATTGCAGTAACATGATGAATATTATGCTTGTAAAGTCTTCTTAACTACTTTGAAAGTCTTTTTAGGTAAAAGTGTAGCATTGCCTATCAATTCCTTCTCATTGGAGTATTTCTATCTTATCTTGCGTACATGCAGCCATCGCTTGGGAGGGCCAGGTGATACTCAATAACCAGTGTGCGTTACTAAAATATAAATAAGATCTAACCACCACGCCTAGGGTTAATAATAGCCTCAATACAGTTATCCCGAACCCATCCACCTAATTTGTCCGACTTGCTGCGCCCGTTACAACTATCGATAGCAACTTGCATGTACTTCATACCCTCGTCGTAGTTAGCCTTCCACAGACAATTTTTCCTCACTGAGAAATCAAGCTGGAAGTGATACCCGGTCGAAGGCACCTTCTTCCCTTCGAGCCTATAATTAGACCAATAATACCCGTTGTCCTTATTCTTGGCCACTATATCGCGGCAGAAGGATTGGGCGGCATAGGTAATGGCATTGGGGTTTGAAGCCTGGCCGCTCTTGTTACAGCGGAGAATGTTCTCAGAGAACTTTGGACTGGCTAGCGTAGGGCTGGGGCTTGGTTTACTGCTGGTGGTCTTGGTGTTGACCCATGAATCGCAGCGTGAGTGCGATACACAGGCTGGCCCGTGTCCGCCTGTTCCCAGGTTACACATGGTCTCGGTGACAGTTTTGGTACAAGAGTAACCATCAGGTGTTGAGATGGTAGGGGAAATACGGTCAGTCAGAGTGGGAGCATCTGTCAACCAGCCGGGACGTTGGCCGACCTCGGGACCTGATTTGCTGGTTGAAGAAGTAGTAGTAGCTTGACTTGAAAGAGTTTTGTCTTCAGTTGAAGAATGCGATTCTTCTGAGGACGGTTCCCCTGTGTTGGAATCATCTAAAGTTGACCTGACAGAGGTAGAAAAGGTAGTGGGCTCCTCGGAAGAAGTAAATGTTGGGATAGGGCGTTTGCACGACAGCCCATCGCCGTCTCGCTTAGCGACTGTCTCCCACGTCCAGGTGGGTACAGGCACTGCCTACTTCCTGCTGGAAGCAGTCATCTTCTGGAACCTAGCATTCCACGTCCCAATTTTAGCTTGCCACTGCTGCTCGTCTGCCGCCGCCACATTAGCAGCCGCCGCCAAGTCAGACGTCAATTTCTCAGTAAGCTTTGTCTTTCCATAGTTGGCAGCGTCGTTGATAGACCACGTTTCGGTGCCGTCAAATCTGCTAGCCATAAAGGTTTTGTATGCCTCGGCAAACGACCAGATACCGTTCTTTACCGCAGGGTCATCCATACAGCCTTTGGCGTTATTATCGATATCCAGACTATAGTAGTGTTAGAGGACGGAGGACATGGTCTGTAAAAAGAGCCCTATACTTACAGTCTCTCGTAAATTCGCCGATTCTGGTTTATCATAGCCTGAATTGCTACGTCAACACTGAACATCTCGATACCGATAGCTATCTTCTCGAGTCTTCCAAGTTTCTTGTCAATGCGAGTTTCGGCTTCCTTTTTAGATGTCTCAGCTGTGACGTCGTTTGCGGATTCAACCAATTTGTCACACTGAGCGCGTACGTCTTCGGCGTTAGCTACAAATCCCTAGATCAGAATGTTAGTATAATCGACCTCTGACATGAGTAATACAACAGGAGTCTTGCCTTTGCGTCACCGTTTGTCCACTGGTCCATTCCTATAAAGTCATCAAGATACTGAGGGCTTTCGACGGCAGTAGGATCGGCATTATTCTCGCTCTTCTTTGCTCCGGGATAAGCATCGAATACCCTTTGTAAAAGGTTGTTATCGCTGTTGGTATCGGCACCACTATAAGCTTTAATGTTACTGCAGCTGATCTTATCTTGAGGAGAATTATCAGTCGCTCCCTTAACATCAGCGCCACTGATGTCAATGATATGCTTGAAGTAGTCCAACAGCATACTCTTCTTGTAGATATGATCGATTGAAGGTCTGCCACTATTAAGACGTAAACTATAGGATGACTGCAGCCTATAAGGTTAAGCTTTAGGCTATAAATACAGATAATAAATAATAATATAATATTTTCTTTCCTAATATAAGCTTTTATCTATAAGCTTTTATAATAATTAATAAATCTTATTATAAGCCTTAAGGTATTATAAAAGAAAGAGATTAAAAGGTATATAAAGGGATATAACCTTAAGTTTATATCTTTATATACTTACTATAATATAACTCTATAAATAATATATTAATAGTAAATTAAATTATTATTAGCAGTAACTTAATAAGCTTATTACAATTAAGCAGCATTTTAATCTATTAAACTAAAAGATAAGGCAATAATAGCTAATCCGTTAGCTAGTATTATGCTGCTCACACTTATAACCTACTATAAGCCCCCTATAACCCCCTAGTTATAGTAGCTTACAGGCCAGCATTACAATTATCCCCCCTTCTATACAGCATAACCTCGCGCTATAATATATAGCCAAGCTAGCTATACTAATTAGCCTCTAACCAATCACATTACTATATTTCAGAGCACCCCAGTTAATCTACAGGTACAATTAGGCAATAATATAAGTATATAAACCCCTAAGGCTTATATAGCTACAGGTATAGCTAAAGGCACTTACTAAGAAAGGCACAAGCTATATAGAGGTCTTATAAGCTAGGCAGGATTTAAACCCTTTAGCATTATAAAGCTAAAAGGCTTAAAACTATATTTATAATTTCCCTATTAACTTTAGTGCCTTTAAAGGTATTACTTAATAGTATATTATAATATAAATTAGCTTAAAAGATAAGGCCTTTATTAAAGCTAATTTTTAATTTATTATAAAAGCCTACTTTAA